ACCTCTCTATTAACAGCAACATTATTTATAATTGCTAAGAGATGGAAGCATCCTAAGTGCACATCAACAGATGAATGGATAAAGAAGATGCAGCATATATACGTAATGGAATACAACTCACCCATAAGAAAGAAGGATATTTTGCCATTTTCAGCCTTCATTTATTTTTTTTCCCACTTCAAAAACTAGAATTTTATAACTGGCATAAACATTTCCATTGCATCAAAAAGAACAAAATACCTAGAAATAAACTTAACCAAGGGGGTTATCTATAATCTGAAAAACGTAAAACACTGATGAAGGAAATTGAAGATGATACAAAGAAATGGAAAGGTGGGTGCTCTTAGATTAGAAGTATCAACATTATAAAAATGGCCATACTACCCAAAGCAATCTACAGATCCAATGCAACTCCTCTCAAAGTACTCATGGCATCCTTCACAGGACTAGAACAAACAGTTCTGGAATTTATATGGAATCATAAAAGACCCCAAATTACCAAAGCAATCTTTTGTAAGTCTTCCCCCTACCCACCTTTCTTCTTTTTGTTCTCTTTTCTTATGGTTTGATGACTAGAGAAGTTCCTTTAATATTTGTTGTAAAGCTGGCTTGGTGGTGCTGAAATCTTTTAGCTTTTGTTTATCTGTGAAGCTTTGGATTTCTCCATCAAATCTGAACGAGAGCCTTGCTTGATAAGAGTTTTCTGGTTGTAGGTTTTTCCTTTTCATCACTTTAAATATGTCTTGTCACTCCCTTCTGGCCTGTAGAGTTTCTGCTGAAAAAAAATCATGATAACCTTATGGGAGTTCCATTCTATGTTATTTGTTGCTTTTTTCTTGCTAATTTTAGTATTTTCTCCTTATCTTTAATTTTTGTGAATTTGATTACTATGTGCCTTGGTGTGTTCCTCTCTGGATTGATCCTGTGTAGAACTCTCTGCACTTCCTGGACTTGGGTAACTGTTTCCTTTCTCAAGTTGGGGAAGTTTTCAGTGATTATTGCTCCAAAAATTTTCTCAGGTCCTTTCTCTCTTCTCTTTCCAGGACCCCTATAATGCAAATGTTAGTGTGCTTCATGTTGTCCCAGAGTTCTCTTAAACTTTCCTCATTTCTTTTCCTTCTTTTTGTTGTGTGTTCTGCAGTAGTGATTTCCACTAATCTGTCTTTTAGCGCATTGATCCATTCTTCTGCTTTATTTAGTCTATTCTTGGTTCCTTCTAGTGTGTTATTCATTTCAGTGATTTTATTCTTTAACTCTGTTTGGGTACCCTTTATATTTTCCAACTCTTTGCTAAAAACTTTGCCTTGTGCATCTATACTCCTCTAGAGTTCTCTGAACATCTTTGCCTTCATTACTTTAAACCTCTTCAGATAAATTGCCTATCTCCTCATCAGTTATTTCTTCTGGGATTTTATCTTGTGCCTTGGCCTGGAAGATAATCCTTTGCCACCTCATATCATCTATCTTTCTATTTTTATTTTTAGGTAAGTGGTTATGTTTCTCGACCTTGGAGAAGTGGCCCTCTGTGGGAGATGTCCTATGCATTCCAGCAGTACACTCCTCTCGTATTACCCAAGGGACAAGGTCCAGCCAGTCCCAGTGTAGAGTTTGGCTTGTGTTTGTGGATTCCTCCCACAGGCTTTGGGGTTGTTGTTTTATTTCTAGTATCTGCCCCCTGCTGGATGAGGCAGGACTAGAGGCTTATGCAGATTTCCTGGCAGGAGGAGCCAGTGCCTGCCCACAGTTGGGTGAAGCTTGGTCCTGGACCTCTGGTGGGTAGTCTGTGTCTAGAGGCCTTTGTGGCTCAGGAATTCTGCTGATGGGTGTGGCTGTGTTCCCACCCTGTATGTTGTTTGGCCTGAGGCTTCCCTACAGGCTGTTGGGTGGGGTTAGGTCTTGGTGCTAATGATCCAATCAAGATGTCAGCCTCCAGGAAAGCTCATGGAGATGAACACTCCCAGAATGTCAGCCACCAGTTTTTATATCCCCTGGTTGAGGCACAGCCATCCCCTACGTCCCCAGGATACCCTCCAAAACCAGCAGGTAGTTCTAGCCCAGGTTCCTATGAAATCACTGCCTCTGCCTTTGGACCTGGTGCACTCAAGATTCTATGCACACTTCCCAAGAGAGTGAAGTCTCCGTTTCCCCTAGTCCTGTGGGGCTGCTGGAGTTAAGCCCCACTGTCCTTCAAAACCAGATGTCCTGAGGTCTCCTTCTCTTCCCATTGCTGGGGCTGGGGAGCTTGATGTGGGGATCAGAACTCTCACTCCTGTGGGAGGCCTCTGTGACTTAACTATTCTTCAGCTTGTGGGTTGCCCACCCGGTGGGTATGGGGCCTAATTATATCATGAGCATGCCCCTCCTACCGTCCTGCTGTGGTTCCCTCTTTATGTTTCCAGTTGAAGATGATCTTCTTTGCTAAGTTCCACTCACTTTTCTCAATGGTTGTCTCACAGTCAGTTGTGGTTTCGCTGTAGTCGCGAGGAGAGCTCACGGTCCTGCCACTCGGCCCATTGAAGCTGTTCTACTTCTGGTTTAATTTCAAAAAGTCCAACTTAAAATTTTTTCTTCCCATCCCTCCTCCATTAGTTGAAAAGCTGTTTTTAGGACAAGAACAGTATCTAATGCTTGACATGTAAAACCTCAACAAATATTTTAAAAATCAACTGTGGAAGCAGAAATGAAAAGGTTCCAGTTCTCCAGCATTTTACTTGGTTAACATTTGTATTAGCTATCTATTCCTGCAAAATAAGTTACCCTAAAGTAACCTCCTCTGATGAGGTAGGAGAAGAAATACAATGTGCTTTAAAGTAAAAATCCATTATTAGTGGAGTGCAGTAAAGCAGAAGGAACAGAGATATGGAGCAGCCAAAGTGGGTCAAATTCAGGACTCTAGATTTTGGGCCAACTTCTCTGAGCTTTAGTTTCATCATCAGAAAATATGGTAGTACTATCACTGAAAATGTGTAGGATTAAATGAAAGAACATGTAAAACACCTGTAACCATGCGTAGCATATATTAGGGGCTCAATGAATGCCATTTCCATGAGTCTGAGTGTCCGTATTTGTAAACTGTGTTCTCAGAGTAGGGTTGTTGAATGTGTGAAAATAGATAAATAACATGCTTACCACAGGGCACAGTTTATTTCAGATGTACTAGAATATTAACTCCTCTAAATATCCATAGAACCTATAAATCATGTTATGGTTATAAGAGACAGGCAGATATCTATACACAACTTTTGGGGGTTCTAATTTTTGTTTAAAAAAGTAAAATCTATCTTGCTTCTCCAACTGATGATTTGGTTAAGTTTTGCAAAAAGGCTAGCTGTGAATCAGTGCAATATTAAAGGAAGACAGAAAAGAAAGTCAAGATGGGACAGATGAAACAACCTTTGGACCTCTGTATTCAGTGAGGTAGAGTGAAAACTGGTTAACTGGAGATAAGAAATTTAAAATTTTCTTTGTATCTGAGTGACCACCAAATAGGAGAATCAAGTAGTTTCATGCTCTTAGGGAACCACTTATTTATTTAATACACAGAATTCCTAACATAATTAATACTAAAAACTCACATTTCTACTATAACACCAAGGGTTTGTGTTATGATTTTCCTAGAATTTGATGAATACTTATCACCATGAATATTGTGAAAGACATTGGAGAGACACACTCTCACACTTTTCACTTCTGCTTACGTATCATTGACCAAGAGTCATGTCTATGGATAAGTTCAAGGGAGAAGAAAAGTATACAATTCTTCTGTGAGCAACAGTAATATCTACCACAGTCTATTCTGAATAGAAAACGTATAGGTATTAGTCTCATGGTTCCCTCATTCTCTTTACTTACAGGACCATGAAAGAACTTCTAATTCAGAATATAGGCTGAAAACTATTTGGTTTAAATTCATTTAACATTCCTACTTCCCTAACTATATGCCAATGTTTCTAAGTGTTTATACACATTTACTCATTTATTCCTCAAGATACTCTTCAGAAGTATTTTTATCCCTATTATAGATGAGGAAGATACAGAGAGGTTAAACTGTTGACCCAATGGCACACAACTGGAGAGAGCCTGACTCCAGAATCTATAGTCCTGACCAGTGCACACATAAACACACAATACTGAGACAGTTTCAGAGAGAGAAGTCCCTTAAAAATCTTTTTTTCTTTTTTAACAAAAGAACCGTGGGCCAGGCTTTGAGCTGGGTATTCCATGAGGACTGGTCAGTCCTCATGGAATGTTTGTGTCAGAATGCAGCCATGAGGCAGGAAGACCACTGCTGAACTTAAGAATCTTCACAATGCACCAAAATGTTTCAGTACTGCACGCATTAGGAATGAGTATCCTATTCATTTCGTATTTCTGCCATGTTTCTACATACAGCCCTAACATACAAGCAACTTCTGTTCAGGGTTTGACCTTTGTCCAACAAGGTTTGAGCCAAAAACTCAAGAATGTGTTATTTTCCTCTTTTGAAGAAAATGTTAACTTTGTATGATAGTTGCATGTGACAAAAAGAATGCAAATGTACAAATCATTTATATGTGTTGACTCTTTCGTCTTATACTATACAGCCTTCTATTTTTGATATTTTGCACCTTCCTACTAATAGCCAATAAGAATTCATTT